CCTCCTTATTAAATTAATAGTTGTATACCTACCTACAGGCGAGGACTTATTACTTATTAGCCTAATTACTACCTACCTCCTACTAATAGCCTATCTATTAGTGCCCCTCGAGGTATTCCCCCTTAGCCTATAACTATTACTCCTAGAGTGGGTAGACGCGTATATCGCGGTAGTGGTTTAGTAGAGGCGGGAGATCCTCGCGGGTTATATACGATAGCGATAGCGGCTAGGAGGTGTAAGGGGAATCTATAACACCGATATCGTCGTTAATAGCTTACTTCCTCGCGCGTATAGGGTTATAAGTCCTTCTAGCGTTAAAGAACGCCTCCTAGGCGTTATTATTCTATACCTTCTCGGTTTTATAGATGCTTACGATAGATAGGCGCGCGGGTAATAGGCGCGCGGCCGACGGGCACCCCTTAGGGGTATCCCCGGCTATCCGTTAGTAGTTATCGTGTTCTTCCACCTTAACGCCCCTGACCACTGCTAACGCTATAAGGAACGCGCGCGCGGGGTCTTCCGGGGATATTAGAGGCGTGGGAAACGGTTTAAACCTCGTAGTGGTAAACCGTAAAGTGTCCGTAGTAATAGCGGTAGCCTCTCCCGTAATAATAACAGTGTTATCGCCTTCACCCATAGTAATAGCGGTAGTATAGTCTTCTCCTATAGTAATAGCAGTATCCGTAATAATAGCGGTGCTATTGTCTATAGTAATAGTAATAGCCTCTCCCGTAGTAATAATAATAGGGTTAAAGGTACGAGGTTCTAAATCTATAGCCTAGGTATTAGGCTATAGATTTAGAACCTCGTCTATAATAATAGTAGTAGCCTCTCTTATAGTAATAGCGATAGCCTCGTGTTTATCCGTAGTAATAGCGGTAGTATCGCCTTTACCCGTAGTAATAGCGGTAGCGTTAGAGTCTTCCGACTTAAGATCTAATACGTCTACGGCTATACCCCTTAATAGCAGCCTATTCGCGGTCTTATTAGATTAAGTGATACGGATAGATTATAGACGTTCCCTGATTTCCTTAGCGGAAGCTATAGCTTATAGCGTTTTAATCCTACCGATAAATATCTTATCTTCGTTAAAGACCATATCTCTCGTAGTAATAATATCTATTAGGTATAGTAGCTAAATACGGAAGCTATTCGAAGATTAGCATCCGATATAATAACCGATCTATACCTTCGGTTCTAGCCTTTATAGGCGGTTCCTTTTAGCTTAGGTATCCCGTGTTTTTATCAAGGCTTCATAGCCGTAAGCTTATAGGTACGTAAGGTTAGGTTAACGGCCGCGTAGGCCTTTATATAGCGTTCGCTAGTCGTTAGTATATCGTGGCGTTCTATTATATAGATATATAGTAGTCTTAAAGATCTTAGACTAGATAAACATAGGCAGATTAGCCCTAATCCTTATAGCCCTCGCCCTCCTTTTAACGATACCTCTAATCCGTTCTATAACGCCGTTTTAATCCTATAAATATATTACCCACGGCTAGCCTTCTACCCCCTTAGCAGCGAGGAAAGCAATGACTTCTGGGTACTAAAATATCTCGGAATCGGCCTGTATAATATATAGCTTAACGTCGAATTAGGTCTTAAGCAGGGCAAAAATATCTTTTAACGCGTATAGGATAAAGCCTTAGTCTCTCTTCTATAGGTAGTAATCCCACGTATAACCTATATACACGTCTAAAATAAATATAATAGACTTATACAGGCCGCCTAAAGATTCCGACTCTTTTAGATCGTGAAAATTAATAGCTAAGGCCTTTCCGGGCTTTAACGGGTAAAGGAATAGTAGCCGCCGGACCTACGTAGGCACTTATAATCACCTATACGCGTTATAGTCCGTTATATAAGGTCCCTTTATCTTTACCCCCTAAGTAGCGTTTATAATCCTTACGAGTATATCGGTACCGTAATAGCCGAGGCGCTTATACTACCGCTACGCTATAGTCTTCTATAGTTACCGCGGTTATCGTAATCTTCTATACGGGTTATCGCGGGGGTGCCTTACTAAGACCGCGAACGCGGTAGCGGCCATAGCTTCCGCGCGCTTAATTATATACTGGCCGTGGATATCTAGTAGCTTATAGATAAGCCGGTCATTGGCGGAGCTAATAATAGTATTATTTACAGTATCCTAGCGGTAGCCTTATAGGCGTAGCTAGCGTTCCGAGACGATATTAGTAACGAATTCCTTATAGTATACGACGTCACGAAGGCGTAGTAGCCTCTTCGTTCCCGATACGGATTATATATATAGCTTAATATCTCCGGATCCGAGGATAAAAGCCTTATAAGTACCTACCTAAAGGGATAAAGATAAAGTATCCGTGGGTAGTCTAATAGCCGTAAAACAGCCTCGATTATTAAAGATAAATATTAATAATCCTAAATCTAGGATCGCGTAGTATAATAGCGCTGTGGCTTAGTTAATAGAAAGGGATACCTCCTATTCTTATTATAATCTTAATAGTATCGTCGTACGACGACACGCCACCCCCTAGGTTAGGTAGGCTCCTAGTCCCGTCACGGTAACCGACAGGTCTTTATAAACTATTATAGTATTATAAAGTTAATCTTCCTAGACTTCCTCTATCTTATTAGCGGTAGTAGCTACTACTTCCCGCCTCTTTTATATGGCGGTATCCACGCGGCTTTTAAAACTATAATTATATATCTTCTTTTCTATAACCTTCGTAATATCTTCACGGCCGCGCTAGGTATATGGGCGTATATCCGGCCTTATATACTAATAGGCGGTAGTAGTATACGGGTTCTTATAAATCTCGTAAAGCCTTCTTATTACAGGAGGGATAGCCTTTACGGATATATCGCTACGAGGACTCTTCTTATTATCTTTATTATTAGTAGTATCCCTAGTATCGGGGAGGTTCCCGAGAGTATTAAAGGTGCCTCTCGTAACTCCAGGCTTTATAGTAGAGGATTATAGGCTCTTTATATTACTAAGAACCGTATATAGAGCCTTTACGAAATCGTTAATCGTTAGCGTATTTTCCGTAATCTTATCGTAGTTACTTACTAGGTAGTTATTACTTTATTCCTAGGCGATAGGTCTAATAGCTTTTAACGCGTTTTCCGCCTAATAGTCCGCCCTTAATAGCTCTAAAGCGTCTATATATTTATAGTATATTATTACTATTTTCTAGCTTACTACCTAGGCGTTTATATCCTTAGGTATAGCCTTTATAGGCGTAGTGTATTATCGGTATAGGACTAGGGCTTTCTTACGGAGGTCTATAGGTATCGGTCCTATATACGCGTATAGGAGGGTAATCTAAGCTTATAGGTTATTTATATTATTATTCTATAGTTATATAAGGAGGTTATATAATATAGTGTAGATAGTCCCTTCGATATATAAGCGTACCTTATTAAACTCCTTCTCCTACGCGTCGTAGTCTGCCTTTTCCTCGCGGTATATATAGTAATCTTATAAGTAGCGCGTACGCCCCTTTTTAAAGAGGTTATCGATAGATATAAGCGTCTTTATCGGTGATTCTTTCATTACGGCAATAACCTTCCGGCGAGCGGCCGTGGCTATTATAGTACCGGCCGTGGTAGCTATAGCTATAGCGTCCGTGGCGTCCGTGGCCTTATCGCTCTTTAGCGTAATAGTAGAAGACGGAGTAGCCGTAATAGTAGAAGATAAGGTGGCTATAGCCTCCTCCGCGTCGGGGTCCACGGCGAGGGCTTTATATTTACGGATATTAAGTGGCGTAGGCTTAAAAAGCAGGTAGGTATTAGCCTCCTTATCGCTTAGCTTTAGATCGAGATAGTTTTCCTAGTAGGAGGCAGATTTACCGCGCACGGTATACTCCTATATTACCTAATCTCTTTAGTTAATAAGGGTTATAGCGGCCGCCTTCTATTCGGTATTAGATACGTTAGAAGATATCTTTACTTACTTCTCGGTTAATTAATTAATTAATAAGTAGGTCGGTAGGTTAATTAATCGCTTAATTACTCTAATCAGGTCGATAGTAGTTATTTAAGAGTGCTTATATAAACGTGATTACTTTTATAATAGAATAGGAGTAGCCTTATTAATATCTATCGTTTAGGCATTATAAACCGGGCTTATAATCATCGTATATTAAATAGTATTTAGATAATTAACATAATAGAGCAGAAATCTCGTATATATGTATTATCTTAAGTTATATCTATATAAGTCTTTTATACCCTTAATTTAGGTGGTGAAGACTCCATTATAGGTACTATATTATTTAGATCCTATCCAGTCTTTTCCGGTATCCGCCCCTATTATATCCTAATACCCGAGGTCCGAAGCCCTTAGTCAGGGAGTGGATCCCCCCTGGATCCCCTATAGACCACGTCGTAGTCCTGCCCATACGACACATACGACACTTCACGGGAATACTTAACTATTAGGAAAAAGGAGGGGAAATAACTATAGATACATAGGATTCAGGTACTCCACACATCTAATATAATATGGTTTGTTATACCTGGATAAGGTGGCTGGGGGCATCTAACAGCATCTAACACCTAACAATAACAGCGACGACAAGAAGGATAGCACCAGGCAAGAGGAGGAGGCCATGGCCGCCCACCAGGGTCACGTTAACGTAGGCGGCTTCTCGGATTGGTTATTAGCAGTGGCAATCATCCAGCTGTTCCACCTGGACCCTAAATCGCAATATTCTTGCCCTCTTGTATCATGGAACAACTGGGAAACAAGTATTGTTTCGCCTGAACGGGAGTTCAAGGGCCATTTACCCCTAAATCAATCTCACTGCTCGAAATATTACTGACTGTGAGACTGCCAAACATGGCAAGGCGTATTGAGGCGAGCTCATGAAATTATACTGACGCCGAGTCCTGCATCGTGTCCAGCCCCTGGATGACACAGCAACAGGTCAAGTCAATGAGAAAACAAGTTTCCGTTTTAATGATTGACTAACTTAACGAGAATCAACTCAGTAATTAGGTACTAAGACCTGGCTATGTCGAGCAGCATGGATTATGGGACAATTTTCCGCCGATACGGAGCCTTCGAAACTGTTCTACATTGCATTGGGAAGATACGCCGTCCGTTTCGCCCGTTCCGCCAGAGTCGCAAAATGTGAGTCGTTACAATCGATCGAGAACCGAAACAGGGTGGCCGAAAACGCCCATGTCGAGACTAAAGCCCACTGGAGGTGAGGATTCAACGAAGCAGATGAACGTAGCCAGGGAACAGAGGTCTCTTGCGGACGCCTCGACACAACCTATGTGACCGAGGGATTCGACTTGCGAGAATTACCTATCACTCCGCGACGTCAAGGTCATCGTGAGCAGGAGGGGGGCTGTCCATAGCTGCAAGTGTGTCAGTGGGCTATCGTAAGATTGATTTCAAGATTACAGGTTACCCTTGCGATCATCTCCGATAGTGCCGTTCTCCCGAGGATCCCGATCCCGGTCGTCGCGATCATCTTTGATGTCACGGTCACTGCCACAAGGGCCTTGTTAGCTACAGCTGTACCATGTTAATCACGCGTCTGGTCGAGTCGCTGGACATACCGTCGGTCGGGGCTGCGGGAGCGGTCGCGCCGGTCGCGAACATCACGGTCATAATCACGGTCACGGTCACGCCGGTCGTCTTTGCGAGGGGGAGGCGAGTAGTCGCGAGTGCTGCGTCGAGGTGAAGGAGAACGGCCACGACGAGGTGAACGTCGAGGAGCTCGATCTCGGTCACGACCCGAGTCAAAGCGCCATGACGCAGACGGCGGCGTCCGAGCCCACTGCTTGAGTTGTGAGTCAAGAATATCGATAATTCTGGAAAGTGCATTTGCTTGCCTCGATTTTCAGTATGTCGTCGCGACCAATGCGTTTATTGTGCATCTCGTGGTAGGCATCATCGGCGTCGCGACGATCTTCATACTCGACAAACGCGAACCTAGAAGCCGAGGACTTGGGTTAGCATCATCAGAGGCACGAGTTATTCACCCAGCTATCCTGAACCATGGGCTTAACTAGGTTAAGTTGCGGCGACAGGAAGATGCTTACAGCCTGCTAGAAGCAGATCGAGGGGCTGGAATATCGCATCGGACTAGACGGCCATAGCTAGAAGGTCCAGTGCTGTCAGCAATGAGGAGCGACTCAATCCGGGTCTCGAAGGGGTGTCGGTAGCATTGCTGTCACGTTGTAGCACGCATAGTCATAATGAAAATACCAGCGACTGGCACACGGCGCGGGAGATGGGGGCGAGAACGGGGTTGGTATTGGGAGGACGGCGCAGTCGAGGGCGGACTCGAAGACGGAGACAATGCACGGCGGAAGCCAGCGAGGGGAGGTGGAGGAAGAGGAGACTCGGCGGCCGGAAAAAGGGGGGGGTTTCGCATTTAGACGCAGGCAGAAGGCGAAGGAACCGACGATGACGATGAAGCGACGTTGACGATGCGTGGTTGACATACCGTTCGAATTCGTAGGCAAGGTCTCGGGCGCGAGTGCCGTGGCTAAAGCCGGTAACGTACAAGGTAGTCCCGCCTCGCGACATCGTTGTTGGAAATCTCAAGGGCCAGAAAGTCAAGAAGAGACAGATAATCAGAAAAACAGGTGATGAAAGACGGAATAGGTGTTGTATGTAGTGGGGAGAGTGGCTGCTTACGAACAGAAAACCAAAGCAAACGATGTAAACCTTTTCACTCGAGTGGATTTGTCAGATGCCCACGGCCACCTTATCGAGGTGTGAGATTATTGAGATTAACGGTTACGTAAGGGCCGGATTGAACCGAAGGATTAAAACCTCTATAATCCGGATAGACACCTGTGTTAGATACAGCGTAACCATAATAATAACGTAGAAGAAGAGTAATAGGGCAGTTAATCGTTGATTTAATTTAGGCTTATAAATCTGTAGATCTGTGTGTGTAACTATATCTAAATTCCAGGACCGTTAGGGAACTCCTGCCACCGTAATTTCTATTTTCAGATACCACAGCCACCTTATATCAAATAAAGCGTAGTCAAATCGTCACAAAATAGGTCAAAATTAATTAAGGCAATTATATAATATTATAACTCTCTTAGACCGTCAGGGAAACGCTACCCCGTATTTTATATAGTGCAGATTCTGTAAGCGTCTACCCGCATTATACTCTTAGTAATCCGGCCTATTACGTAACCGAAAAGACTATAGTCTATTCAACACACCCCCTAATCGCCCTAAACATTAGTTAGGCGATTAAAGTTTTTCGTAATCGGCAGATAATCCAGCTATACAATCTATTCGCTATAGCCGCCCTTAAATTCATCCTCCAGGTCCTCTAAATATTCTATCCAGACTTCTCTAGCTATTTCTACTATAACCGTTCCCGTATATCCATCACGCCCACCTAGAACCTAAATATCTTAAATTTCTCGCCGTATAGCGCCTTCGTTAATCCGTCTACCACTATTTCCGCGCTCGTAACGTACGTTACAAGTATTTACCCTTATTCCTTTACTTAACGTAATTAATAGCCGTGGATATCGACGTAGCGGAGGCGCGTTATTAACGTGCTAATCTCTTAATTAACTAATCGAATCGTTTAGTTATTATCGTATAAGATCCTTAACTCCGGATCGTTAAATTCCACTCCTATACTAAGTAATAGGCATTATATAAAGATACCCTCTTTTACACCTTATACTAACGCTAATAGCTCTACCTCCGTTATTAACATCGTGACTATATCCTGCTTATTAGCGCGCCACGCTATTATACCGCTAAATAAGCGTATTACGTACGCTTAACTACTCTTTCGATTAAGAGTATTATCGGTAAATAAGACGTTAGTATAGATTTCGATAGTATCGCTACCCCTTAGTTCTAACGTAAACGATGAGCTATTAATTAGATAGAGGATTAGATAATCGGCGGCCTCGTAGTAAACAGGCCCTGGATTAACGTTAAACCGGTATAGCCTGGATACTATAAACGCGATATTAGGCCGCGATATCACTACTACGTATAGTATAGATCCTATCTTCCGTTAATAGCTTTTAACGTGAGTTAAGGTTCCTAAATAGGGTAGCAGCTCTATAACCTTAATTAGGTGCGTTAGGCGATAGTTGCTACTATACTTACTATTCGGCTTTAATAGGCGTTTTAACTTAGTAACGTAGTCGCGTTATAATAGCTAGATTTTACGGGCGACACGGTCGCGAATAACCTTAATACTAAGGAACCACTATAGAGGATCGCTAACTTATAGGTTATAGTGGCGTTATAGGTTATTAACGGCCTACTCTATCTACGCCTTATATTATTCCTTACAAGTAATAACGATATCGTTAACGTAGAAGAATAGGATTAAACCGCGGCGCAGAAAATAACACGGTTCTTACGGCACTATCTAGAAGCCGTCCGCTGAAAGGATAGCCGACAAGTGCTTTTACTAAAGCAGTAAAGACTCCTTAAGTCTATATAACGCCTTTTTCAGGTATAAACACCTCCTAGGGGCTAGAAAGCCTGGCGGCGGGTATATGAAGATATCGTGGGGAAGGGGCGCGTGTATAAACGCGTTTATAACGTTAAATTATAATAGCGTAAGGTTAAATCGGGCGGCGATAGCTATTAACGCGCGGAACGACTTTTGGCTAGTATTACTACGTATATCTCCTTCAGCGAGGATTAATACTGCTAATCTCCTTATACTATAAGCCTTACCTTATATTTATATAGAAATCCATACTTATCGAACTTATATATTATTACGTATATCGAATTAAGAACCTAATATCTATCTGCTACGGACGCCGGCACCCATATCCACGACCCTATCTCCTCGTGGCTCCGTAGATGGTCTTCTTATGCCTATTGGAATAGGTAGCCGTAAAGGTACAAGGGTATATCACGAGGGTTCTTCGGAGGAGGAGGGAGATCTTTACGGTGGATCTTTACGGCTATCGGGGTAACAACTAAAACACCCGCCGGAATAACCGCCGGGGTTATATTTTCCGATATAGCCTCCCGGGTTATACTTCTGGTAGCTACCGCCGGGGCCGTGGATTCGTAGGGTATCGTTAAGCGTCGCTATAGCGCTATAGGCGTAGACCTTTTTAACCGTAATTTAGTTAGCGGAATCCTATTCAATATATATATATTAGGTGCGTAACGGCTAGCGTTAAATACTATAACCTAATAGTCTCTTTTCTAGCTATCTCCTTACCGAATTAGTTACGCTCCTTTATTTAATAGAAGCCCTATAGCCGTAGCTATAGGTGTATTATAGCACCGTATTCGGTTATCCTAGAACCCTACGGCCGTAGGGGTATCACGGTTTCCTAATATAACGGCTGCTATTAACGCTATAACTAACGGCGGGGTTATTAATAGAGTAGGAAGTAATGGATCGGGCGGATATAGACGGTGATTAGGCGCTATACCGGCTAAATCACAGTATTCATAACCTAAATCTTATCCTAATCAACTCGAGATAGCCTCCTCTACCCCCTTACGGCCGGGTATTACGGACTATAACCTTAACGGTAAAGCCGTTAAGGAAGGGGATCCGGGGGCGTTTATCCCCGGATCTAATAATTCAAAATAAGCAGTTATTTAAAAGGGGGGTCCTTAGCTTATACATCCGTAAACGGCCGTAAATCTCTAGCCCTCTCCTACTCGACACAACTAATCAGGTCTTCTAATTACTCCTCGGTGAATTAATGGAGGTTATCCTTAAAGGTGGCAATATCGCCGTTAAAGAAGGCGCGTTCGTTAAAACCCATATCGCGCGTTCGAATAACGCGGTTATGGCGGCGTAGGCCAGGCACTCAGATACGGAAAATATTAGTGGAATCGTAGCGGATAAGGTAGCCGATATAGACGCGAGGAGCGATACGATTTAATAGCTTATTAGTAGCCTTTTAGGCGTCCTTTATTATCGCGTACGCCTTATAGCCGTAAGCTCGAAGGTATAATAAGATCGGCTTTCTTTTAAAAAGGACCTTATATAGCGTTTTCTATTCCTTATTATACTGCCTTCGTGGCGTGCGGTTATAAACGTACGTAGCCGTGGGAATGGCCTTAGGCTATATAAACGGCGGTAGTTTTACGTGGATATTTATCGCACGACCTTTTAAGATAACCACGGTAGCAGCGTGTTGGCACCCCCGTTCTATGCTTAAGTGTCGGTAGCAGATACCTCTAAAACGATGCCCTCGTCACGCAGGAATTAGGTGATATCGTGGGATTAAGTTAGCTTATTATTAGATTCGAAAACGCGCACCTTATAGCCTAACCAGCGGTCTACCTAGGCGAGGAATTCCTTAATTATTACGAGGATATCCACTGCGAGCTTACTCTTTATAACGTAGGTGGCCGTAAAACCACTATAACGGTCGGTGAAAAATATAAACCGTGAGTCTCCGTCGGACGTTCGGTTAAAATCCGTGAAATTAATCGCCACCGCTCCCCTATAGAAGCAGGTGCATTACGAGGGTGCCTACTAACGTACCGCTTTATCTTTATAAGCTCGTAGGCCTCGCAGTCAATAGTTATTAGTCCCTTGATTTTAACCCCCTGCATCTGCTTTTCTAGGTGCCGAAGTGGTTCAGGGCCTACGTGCCCTAGCCGCAGATACTATAGGATACCCTCTATAGTGCTTGGATATCGTATCGTTGATTTATAGACGGCTTTTTGGGTGGCAGAAGAAGCAAAAAAGCCTAGAAAAGCAGCCGCAGATTAGTCAGAGGGCACGTATTCAATAACGGTTTAATCGAAGCGGTGACTTAGCTAGTATAGTATAGATCCATCGGAACGCCGAATACAGTTATTTAGTGGCTTCTAATCCTACTAGTATTCTTAGAGACGTAGGCGTTAGTTAGAGATTAAATTACACGTAAAATCCTCGTAGTATACGACGTTTAACAGCCTAAAATCAAGGCCTCCTATTAGTCTATTTAATCTCACGGTCACGTTACCGTAACCTTTAATAGGTAGGGATAAACTACTAGCTACCACGTAGTCCCCCTACGTGGCGGGTATAAAATCAGAAAAACGGCAAAAATCGTTAAATATATAAATAGTAGCGCCGGAATCAAGGATAGTAGAGGTTCGAAGACGGTAACTAGTAGTAGCGGTTCCTGCTATAAAGCTAGTAGTGTGGGAGACGCCGCTACGGACACTACTATAATTAAGTCACGCCTCTTTAAGCTATACAGAATCCCGGCTTATATCCTTCTTCACCTTCTTTACAGCGCGCAGTTCTTCCACTTCCGCGCGTAGCGAGGGGTTATATTTAAGGATCCGTTAGACGGTTATTTTAGTGCTCTCGAAGGGTGTCTAATCGTTATATACCGTATCCGAGAATAGATAGAAGCAGGCGTTAATATCGTGACTAGGTATAGCGCACACGCGGTAGATCTATTCTCTTCATAAAGCAGATTAGCGGCGCTTAGAGGAGAAATAGTTAGTTAAAGCAGCTAAAGGTATAGCTATAGATACCGTGGTAGTGGGATTCTTAGCTTTATTCTTCCCACGGCCGCCCTTCTTATAGGGCTTGGCCGTGGCCT